GTTTCTATTTTTTATCTTTGCTTATACTTTCTTCATCGTCGCACGGCGGCGTAACTGTTCCCACACTTCGCATCGGGATGGTATATCAAGGCAATGACACTCCACCGCTTGCATTGGACGTAGTTTCTTCGAGCATTCAGAGAAACTCGGGTATGGAGTGCACATCTTACGACAGTTAGCCTTTTGAGTTGAGCGTTTACATTTGGGTGGGATTCGAGCGGAAGAACATCCGGGTAACATAACAGTTGGACATTTGCCTCGCATCTTTTGTGTCTTGCAAGGCATCAGATCTGTAGGTCTCGGCTTACATTCATCAGCTGCGGTTCTCCTCTTGAATACGCGCCGCTTAAATGGCGGCGGTATGACCTTCTTGTAACAGCAGATTTTCTTGGGCGCAACTCTCACTCTCGGGCACTCAACCCAAGTTTGTGTGTACTTACGCTTTAGCTTATCCGATGGCTTATAGTAGAGTTCATCGTACCGTGGCAACAAATCAGGACACGGATCTAGACAACATTCCGGATTAAACCACATTGATTTCGGCTTGTCGTTATCCTTCTTTTCCTCTTCCTTTTTACTCTTACTAACATTTTGTGCGCACTGTGCACGAGAAGATACACCACGATTTGCACATTGCGCCGCGGTTGCGGTTGTGGGCATGGGCGCTGAAAGTGCGATAGATCTTGGCAAAATGCGTTGTGCAGCGCAACTCAGCGATCGCCCGATTGCGGCGGAGGTAAGCATTTCAATTTCGAATTTAATCTAAGCGAAAAGTTAATTTTTTTAAGGGTTTTTAAAGATATTTTTTTATGAATTTTACACCAGAAAAAGAAGTTACTTGAAAGATTTTTAAAGAAGAAATAAAAACTTTAACAAAATTATGATAGATTTTTGAAAGTGTACTATGTAAAAATTACATTTGCAAAGTGATCCAAATATGTATAGTAAAATAAAATTATAATACAAATTTTCAAGCGACAAAAAGCTGAAGCATGTCGATCCTTTTTTACGGACATCTTCCAGGGCTTGTCGTATT